TTCATAGGTTCCCTAAAATACATTAAAGTACTGGAAATTCTACTGGTTTCTGGCAGTTATCTAAAAGTGAGGAATGACCCAAAGGTGAAATACTGGAAATTTGATATTGTTTTTTTTTTTTTTTCCAAGATATCTTCACTGTAGTCTTGACTGGAGGTTACTTTTGATATTTTTGTGTGTTTATTTGAAGAGAGAACAAGATCAGGGAATAAAAGATGATACACATAAATAGTTATTCATATTTGGATTCCCCTGCTCAGCTGCTTACACAAAATAGAAAAATATGGCAGCATCTCAGATACCAGCCTAGTTTGAAAAAGGTTTGAAAGGTGACTGTCAATTCAACTTAGTCTTGCACTGTTTAGATTGTAATAATATCCAGGAAGATGCAATCTACAAATGCTCTATGAACTTTCACATTAGAATGCATTACCAGTTCTAACTGGTAAAAAGCTAAAAGTTCTAACGCTTTTGCCAGTATCCTAATGATGTTTTCTTCCCCACTTTTTTCATTGATGATGAATTGAAGAAAAGATCTCATCATATCTGTCTAATCACAATGTAGACTGCTTTACATGTAAATACTGAACAGGTTTTGAATTTAAATAGAATCAAAACAATTTGTTTTCATTTCAACAGGGCAATTGATGCACCTTTTGCCAAGCCAGGTCAATATTTCCTTGAAGTTTTCAAGCAGTAACAAATGTTTTGTGCTTTGGTGCATGAATTTAAAATTAGCCAGGGTTTCATGTCATTTTTACTGTATGGCATTTTATATCTATTTTCAGGCACCTGATTCCCTCCAACACACAAAACATGACAGGATAAGAATCAATATGGAATTAAATTAACTGTGAAGATAGGACAAATTTTTGCTGGTGATTTTGTTTGCTTCGTGAGCCGAGATCTAACAAAGAAGAGTATTAGAAATGAGTCATTAGAAGTGAGCAGTTTAGCTTCTATCTCTGACTCATTCCCAAAGAAGCTGGCTGCATGTATATGCCAAAGCCTCCTTTGAGAAAATAATGTATTTTTTGATTTATATTTTTTCTCTACGTAAGTATTGGGCAAGAGTTTAATCTCAAAAATATATTTTTCCAGAATTTAGTTTATTAATAAAATATTAATAGGTGAAAATATGCAATTCAGAAAGCCGTCCACCACAACACTTAACGAGAAACAGGAACGTAAGTTTATTAAGTACTCACATGATTTGAGCAATACCACTTCTCTTAAACTGTATGTGAATTATGGTTGTTGGAAGCAGCTGTTTATTGAAATACACTGTTTGGTAACCTTAGTAATACTCCATTTATTTATTTAATGCCCCACAGGTCAACTCCTCAGGCTTGTGAACCTGAGGGCAGTTTCTTAAACAGTAATAGAAAACAGTTAAGAAAATTTTTTTTATGTTGCTGTGTATTGAATGGTGTTATATATGTCCAATAAAGACTTTCAATTTCTGAAACTGCTAATATGAGAGGTTTCAGCAGCACTTAACAAAAACACAAAACAAAAACAAAACAAAAAGCCCTTGGAAACAAAGTTAATTTGTCTGGTTGCCTGATTGATCTAGGAAATTCTTGCCAAACTTTCATGGCTTACAGTCTCTTCCAAATTTTGAGTTCTTTATCTTTTTCAAATTACCCCATAAAGTGACAAAGCAGTACATTATGCTGGATACCTCATCAACAGAAGTCTGTTTTGGGAACCACTAAATTTAAAACTGTTACATGGCACTTTGCCCTTGACCTGTATCACTTGGAGAGCCAAGCATACACACGTGACTGAGAGGCCTGGCAGTAAAACACTGAGCAACATCTCAAAGAAAGCTGTCATTAACCATGATCATTAAAAGGCAGGGCACCTGAAGTTTCTGGCTCTTTTGAGACACCTCCTAAAGTGCTTGCACACTGATAATTCCAGAAGTTTTGGTATCTTTCACCCACACATGGTGGGACATAAAAGTAACACATTTGTGATTTGGTCTGCTTTCCTGATCAGGGAATTGTTCTCTCCTTCCCTGCAGTCATTATCTAACTTCTGCTTTCTTTCAGGGCTTTGAAGTTTTCTTCTCTTTGTAGCAACAGATTCAGAACCCCCAAGATTTTGAGAAAAGGCAGTGCAAGAGAGGCATTTCCATTTTACTTCGAAACAAACTCTGATGTTGCTTAATGACAGCCTGCAGAAGGGCTGAAGCTGCCAGTGCCAGCAGTGCTGTTAGTTATTCTGCTGCTGGCTGAGGGCCTGGGGCCAGCAGGGCACAGTGATGGGGTGAGCAAGAGGTGCTCAGTCCCTCCCATTCCAGGTGCAAACCCCTCCTGGCAGCTGATGGGATCCCTCCACTCAGGGCTTCTGAGGCAAGGAAGAAGGAACAATACTGCATGCCTGTCTTTGCACACTGACAGCAGACAAGCCATGGCAGATGTCCACTACGACAGGAAAAGCCACCTCAGTAACACCACCACGCTTCTCGCAGCCATACACCCCCTGCACAAGCCCTGGGGCACAACCTGGGGCAGCAGCAAGAGCTGGCTAGAAGAACATTTCTCACAGGCTTGAGCTACTGGAGGCTGCTACAGAGGGGAGATGAGACCTATGTAGAAGACCAGCTTCCTACTCCGGCTTTTCCAGCTGAAGTTCCTCTACTATGCAGTGCTCAGGCAAGTTGTGAAAAAACAGAGGCATTTCTTTCCCTTCCCCAGGGGACCCTGCAGAAGCCCAGACGTGCTGTCTGAGGTCTCCTGGAAAGGCAGTATCAAAAAACTGAAAGCTGTCTCGTTTATAAAGGTTTTGATGAAACCTGTGACGAAACCTATGACTTATAAACAAATTGCTTCCTAAGAATTGTCTTAAATTGGGCCAAAATAAATATCCTCAGTTCACATTTCCCAAGTGGAAATACATAGCTCAGCAGACACACTCCAAATACAGTGCTCTTTCCAGGGCTGTGGACATCTTCATCCCCTGTGGGACCTGACACTGCAAAGGTGGGCAGTCACTGTGTAATCTGTATCCAGTTGGCAAGAAGGATCAGTGTTAAAACTGGGTGAAAAAGCCATAACAAAAATGTGGAAGCAAGATTAAACTCTGGGGAGTAGAGGGAGATGGTACATGACCCAAACAAGCTAGATAGTAGTGACCAAACAAAGGCTGGGACCAGATCAGAGACTGAGGTTTGGATAAAATCTAGGACAATCTTGGACAAAAGAATAATGAGCGTCAGATTGGAATGCAGAAACTGGAATGCAGAGACTAGGCCTGACTAAATAAAAGGGACCAGACAAGGAGTCAGGATTGGGGAGAGACAGGATTGTAACAAATACAGGCAGAAGATGGGTAGCAGAGTTTAAGGTAGCAAAATCTGGACACAAAAGCAAACATCTTCCCAAGGATGCTGCTGTACAAGATGCCAACTGGAACCCCAGACTCTGAATTTCACCATTTCTCTAATTTGTGAGCATACTCATCAACAGAAAGACTGTATACAATGTTGCTATCTTATTGATAGCATATAAAACTTCTGTATTTCCACTCTACAAAACCCACTTTCACCCACCCCCATCAGAAGAGGACTCCATCCACCAGTAGGAGAAATAAGAGCTGATGCCACATTCTCAAACACTGCCCAAAATGAGTGGCAACTTCTGATCTTATTGCTTACACACTTCAATGGGCTTTCTCTAATAACATCCTAGTTCCCTCCTACTAAGATGTTGTGGAAACCAATGAGGCATTTAAGGACTACAGCTGCGGACAACAGAAAAAATCCATTATGAAAACAGCCACTTGGAAGACTGAACAGAAATTCAATAGCGTGTGGTACATACATATGCCCATGCATAAGGAGACTGAACTTATGCCATTCCCTAATTATTTCAAATGTCGTACAGCCCTTTAACGTCACATATCCTGCATATCTCTATATTTAGACTTAGATGGACAAGTTATGCTTGTTCGTGAGCATAAAGAACAATACAAAGCTGAAATGTTAATCTTCCAAGGCCTCGAGGCAATACAACAAGTTATATTACCTTTACATTTTCCAGGCAAAAGTTACGAACAAAAAAGAAAAAATGCTTGAAGTGTCAAGAAAATATACAATACCGAAAAGGTCATTCTTCTTAGCAGGCACTAAGAATGTGCTTATAATATTTGGAGGATCCAAGTGACCTCTATTTCCTAGAAAACACGTAACCTTTAACCGCAGGCACTTCGGCTGGATATTCAAGCTATCTGTGGTTTTAGCATGTCAATGATCTGCAGTGAGCTAGGAAAAAATAATCATGAATACAAGGATTTGTTTCCCAAAGAAAATTATTAGCTATTACTGAATAATAAAAATATCTATAAGCCAAGAGTTATTTTTAGCAGCAGACAGTTCATTCTAAGGAAGTGCAACCAGATGTGCGCCAAGAACGATAAACGGAATGGTGCTTTATGTGCACCATAAACATGAAGCAAGGATTGTAGTCCCATGTGATAACAAGGGAACAACAAATGACTATACTTTGGGGTACCAGTAAATCCAGTACAGTTTCCTGTGTATTAAACTTCAAGGTAAACTAAGGTCATCAACTTCGAGAAGATAAAGTGAGTATTTTAGTCTTTTCAGTAGATGAAAAACCATCATCTATTATTTGCAGTCCTATCTGCAGTCCTTGTACCTGGTATAAATGTCACTCCTTCAATAAAATGTTTTTAATGAAGAATGTTCTGCTAAAGCTGTACAGCCAGAAGAGTATCTGTAGTTTTCTATATAGATCTATAGCATATAGTGTCCTACAATGTTGATACAACATTGTTTGTAAACTGATCTGCATTTTTTCTTTATAGTACATTTAAGCACTTTGGTTCTAAAACAACAAATTGAAACAGAAAGCTTTTGACCATGTAGGAGTTAAATACATATTTGTATTACAACAAATTACATTCTTACAAAAAATTGTGATGACCAATTGGTGATTGCGTAGCCTGAATTCCAAGATGGCTTTCCAACTCTATAAAGCATTTAAAGACCTTAAAACCCTTTTCTTCTAGCCATGAAATAATTCAGGCTTAATTCGGAGCAGAAAGAGCTGCACTGGTTAGCAGGTGTGAAGATGTACCAAGGATGAAAGCTCCAGCAGACAAAGCAACAGAAGTTTTAAAAGGTAAGTAAAACAAACCAGCTGAAGAAATCAAGATGTTATCTACAGCAACCAGAAGCAAATTAGTCACCTAAGAATTGCTGCAGCTATTTCTCCTTCCCACCTAGAAAAGTTTTAGTTAACAAAGAAGTACAATAGAAAAGAGTTTTGAAACTGAGAGTCAGAGTGCAGTGCAGTTAGTGGCAAGCTAATGACTACAGAGAAGGCAGTTCGCAGGGAACAGCTGAATACACAGATTCCCATAAGTTAAACATTTTGGCAAGACCCATCTGGAGGCTTATAAGAAACCTAGGGTATCTGAAATAGCTGGCTTTCAAATGTTAGGTGGTTTAATTTGCATGCTGAAAAGTTCATTGCAAAAACGTGTCAAAGTCATGGTTACTTATTCTTATAGCCAACATACTTATTTGTTGGTAGTAATTAGAAAGTTGTAAAAATTTCACCTCTGTTACTGATGATGGTGGTAGTAGCAGCAATAATAATCCCCTAGTCTCATTTTGTCACTCTCTTTTGCAAACGTTCATGCTTTATCTTTGTACCTTTGTTAGAGGAGAGTGTTTAGGGTGCTTTTCCCCTTTTGCACCTCAGCCTCAAAAAAATAAAGGTAAAAGGAAGAATGGAAAAAGCTGGAATTGCTGATACATTCTGCGGTAAGATGGTGTTTGCATTTCTAGAAATTCCAATGTCACCTTAAAGAAGTGCAACTCTTCAGCCAAACCTTCCCTCAAAAGTGCACCGAAATAGATTCCTTTTAAAAAAAAAAAAAAAAAAAAAAAAAAAAAAACATATGCCTTTCAAAGTACTGAAGAGGCCATGAACAAATGTGATGGGAGATGTGAAAAGCCCCCTAATATCTGCAGATTTTTTTTCTTAATGCAAAATAAGTGATACTTTTTTATTATTTCAATAAACTTATGCAGGGATGGTTAGAAATCTTTTTTTTTCTGGAAAAGGGGATTACCCAACACAAAACATTTTGTTCAGAAATAAACTAACCCTCTATGGTTACCAGTCACAATCTCCATGTGCATCTTGACAATGTATTTTTTTTTTACTTCTCAGTCATCCATTTGTTACTGCTTTCTTTCACTAAGATTTTTTTTTAATGCTTTCATTCTAACTGTACTTGAGAACTGCTGTGGCATACGTAAAACAAGGTTGCAAGACTTATAAACAAGGTCTGTGCCTTCACTATGTTATTATTGTATATCCTTTCTGCTTCAAATCAAATCTGGATGAATTATACTTCTAAAAGTTCTTCCACATTCTACATGTCATATATCATTTTCCAAAGTACCATAAAGCAGTTCAGTCTGTCAGTAGATTTCACCTACAAAACATGGATCTGCTTCTGAAGGCAGCTGTATTGGATTTCAGCAGCCTGAGTGTATTTGCTCATCTTGTAAATTTGCTGTCTTGGACCATGACAGGTATCATCAGTCACTGGAGCAAAAATATATTTATTTGTAGCGATATAAAAGAAATCTTTAATTTCACTTCTACAGATTTTCAAACCCAGTTTGGAAAAAAAGCACCTTAAACAACTAAGAATCTACCTCAGAAGTGAAAATACTGATGTTACTATGATTAAAGGCTTCAAAAGATAAGGAAGGTTCAATCCAATGTAATATTTGGGACAAATGAAGGAAACGTCCTTAAAAATACAAAGGGTCAAGAGACATAAGCATCACCTTTTTTTGTGTAGGGGATTTATGTGGACCTAAACCTGGCTCCAGTTCTACCTCAGTAGCGAGTAACCTCATCAGTCCACTAACTTGCATTCCTAATTAAACAGCAAAATGTTGCTGGTGTGAGGGGATCGTGTGCACCCTCAGTAAGTTTGCAGATGACACCAAGTTAGGTGTATGTGTTGATCCGCTTGAGGTGGGGGTTGGTCTATTCTCCCATGTGCCAAGTTGATAGGATAAGGGGGAATGGACTAAAGTTGCACCAGGGGAGGTTTAGGTTGGATATTAGGAAGAACTCCTTTATTGAAAAGGTTGTTAGGCATTGGAATGGACTGCCCAAGGAAGTGGTTGAGCCACCATCCCTGGAGGTATTTAAAAGACATTTAGATTTAGAGCTTCGTGATATGGTTTAGTGGAGGACTTGTTAGTGCTAGGTCAGAGGTTGGACAAGGTGATCTTGGAGGTCTCTTCCAACCTAGATGATTCTGTGATCTCCTAAAGGAGCACAGCTAAAAAAGCTACATAAACTAAATTATAGAGAAGACCAAAGATGTTACCAAGTCTGCATGATGGCCTACAGCCTCAGCTGTGATTTCTGCAGAGCAGGGAAGAGACTTTCCATGAGCGACTCTAATATATCCTGACTTCTGAAAAGACCCAAGACCCACCAGCCCCTACCTATATAACAACAAGGGCACCACATTGCTTCACAACAGGGTTCATATTGAATTATTAGCTTTTTTTTTTTTTCTCCCACACACATGCCTGTTTATAGCTTGCTGAGAAAAACTAAATAATCAGGCAAGGTAATGATGCAGTCTGGTTCTCTATAGCAGTATCAGTTCTTTGGGCACACCAGCTGCATAAAGAAGGGATCAGCAAAGGAGTTGACACCAATAAGCTTTTTCCAAGTTAGCAAATATGAGTTAAGCATCCACAGAAACCTAGATGGATAGATTTACATACACCATTCAGTCATCCATTCAAACGTTGCTGATATTGATTAACATGGCAAGCAAACTGAAAAGAAGTTTTCATCTTCCAAGAGTCACTGTAAGATGCCTTTTTGGCACACCCAAGATAATATCACAGCTCCTGAATATCATTTTGAATCTTAAATTCAGTCTCATTTGAATCACACAATGGCTGAGGTTGGAAAGGACCTCTGAAGATCATCTAGTCCAACCCCTCTGGAGAAAAGAACAAGATATTTTTTGTCTTTTAACTTTTACACATTTTCCATGTAAAAACATAAATAAACATGATTTTATTTAAAAAGTCACTAATCCTTACCAAAACTCTGTTTGGAACTTTTTATTATGTTAACCTTAAAAAAGGTTGAATAACAGCTACTTTCAAATTTTGCATGACTGCTTTTCTCCTGATATCAACAACAAAGCAAAGACCTTCTGAAGCAATCTTAACACTTTGTGCAAAATACCATTCCAGCTATCTAATCGAAGAAGCCATCTGTGTATTTTACCATAGAGCAAAGTGCTCCAATCTTTTCCTCATATCAACAACCTTCTGGCTTGAAAGCCCAAGATTTTTCCTCAAACAGTTGAGGATTTGCTCAGACTTGTAAGTGAAAAACAAATGACACTTGTCCAGTGCTTCCCTGATGTAATCATGGTTGGATTTTTACTTTCGCAATCTGGTTGCATTTAGTATTGTTCTTCCTATTTCCAAATTTAGGTTTATGGAACTGATCTATTTCCAATAAGATCATTCACTGAAGCCCCACCAAGAATCCTGCAGGCTGGAACTTTCAGTGCTGCTAGAACTATAGCCATCTTGTATATTATTCTTCTCAAAAAACCACAGCCTTTCATCATGTGCAAGAAGCTGGAAAAACATGTTGAAAAAGCATTCCGCAAATCAAGTTTACTGACAATTCATAATTTCTGTTGGCCAGAGAGGTTTTTTTTTTTTCTTGTTGTTGTTGTTTTTTGTTTTTTGAGTCTTTTTTAGGTGTACTTATATTGTGACAGGAATTTACTCTGTGGCTGCTGGATATGACAACTCTACAGCCTCTGGAGATATGCATAGTGTTGCACATAAGCCAGATCCACAGGTGTGGAAAGAGTAGATACAAGGCAAATCAAAAAGCTGTGTCATAAACTGAAATTAGCACATGGCTTTGACCACTTCATCTACCTTCTGCCAACAAATCCATTTTCTCTCGGACTCCTTGTGACATTCCAGTCCTCTGAGCAGTTCTAAACAACCATTGTTTTCCAAACATCAGCATGCCACAAAAATGCTTTCTACTTTCCCCCTAAATACAAAATTTCTCTCAGAAAACAACCCTGGCCTGATGACCATGCTAAGACCATTCAGTCTGGGAGTACTGGAGATATATGATGCCATTCCATAACACAAAACCAAATTTTATGGAAAATTATGGAAAAAAGCTTCAGAAATTAATCAAGTCATTGAATGTTGAAAAATTAGTATTTTTTTAATATAAGGTTTTTTTGTGTGTTTTATTTTTTAATTTAAATTGTTTAGTGACTATGCTTTTGTTTGGTCTTGGACATCCATCTCCAGAATTTAGATACTGCAAGAAAGAATTTCTGCTTTTTGGTGTATCCCCCCTCCCTCCCCCCATTTCATTTTTTTATTTAGGGTTTTGTTTCCTGGGTTTTCATTTTATTTGTTCTGATTTTTGTTTTTGTTGCTTTTGTGTTTGTTTTTTTGTTGGTAGTGGTGGTTTTGTTTGTTTGTTTTAGGGAGGCACTAGTATTCATTCTTTTTAGAGAATTTAGTCGAAGAGTCCTTGATTTTTACTTAGAACATCCCTAATTATCTCTCACCAGGTGTGCATTCCCATTCTGATTCAAGTTCTGGTTGCTCAAAAAATGAGTTATTGCTTTCAGCAAAGAACAACATTTTGATATTCTTAATTTTAAAAATATATGTATTTTTTTCTTTGTATAGCATCAGTATTCTTTATAATTTTTATTATCCTTTATTTCTATCCATACTCTCAGATTCCTTCAGACCACTAATTATACTACGACATCTAGCTGTAAAAGGCTTTGGTTTTCCAGTCTGAGAAGAAAACTGGGTTTTCTACTACAGTTCAGTTTCATCAGAAACTGATGACAACTTCAACTGAAAACAAATTCTCCTAGCTTCCAATGGGGCTATTTTTCATCCAGGAGTTACAGCCCAGTAGAAAACAAACCTAATGAACCTAATGTTTAAAAGACAAGCCTTTTCCACAATCTGAATTAGAGGATGTAGTAACTACTCAAGAGGTCTTGCCTACTATATTATTTAAGCTTAATAACCTGTGGTTCTAAACCCTGT